TTTACCGATCAGGAAGGTTAAGTGTAGTATCTGTGGATGCAACTCTGACCAGGGAGTAAACAGCAAGCAGACCAGACCTGATTTGCCTAACCTCACTTTAATTATAGCCAGCATTATATGGTGTGAACATTTTGTCACTTCGGCTGTTTAGCTTTCAAGACACAAAATGAGAATGGTATAACAGGACGAAGTCATTTGCTCGCCAGATATGAAAAACACAAAAGATAATTTGTGTACGCACACGCACAAACAGAAATCGAGACAATTTTTTTAAGCTTAGCTACCGCGTAAAAATCGTTCGAATTAAAAAACTGCCTAATCGCAACTTAATCGATAACTTACGTTTATTCAACTCACATCAAGTAGAGGTCAGCTATCTTTCAACTCAGATTATGTTCAATGAACAGCGTATACGTAAATAACATTTGAAATGTTCATTATCGACAATAAAAAGATTTGCTAGAATACTTGAGAACTTCCGTTGGCGCTATTTGTAGGATAGCCGATATTTGCTCGCAAACAATTGTTTGCTGTGCCTTTAATGCAATTTTTCCCTTTGACTCTTCGATTGACAATCCTTTGTGCACCATACATAGCGGTAAGCCTGCCACGACAAATTCGCCAGTACTGATGCAAGCTTATGCGTTACGGCGCTGTCCTTTTATTCCATTTGCTTACTGGTTTTATGCGCATTTTAAACACGAGGATCCATTTACAGTATTCTATTCAACTCCGCAGGCCGGCAAGCCATCTATTCGTTACCCGCACACGTCGATCTTAAAGCGAGCCTCCCCTTTCGGAGTGCACAGGATCCTGGATTCATACGACTTTAACGATTATTTATTTTCAAGTGGCTTCCTTTGCCACATTGCGGCGTGAGCACTCGTTGCTATCGCAACACACCCAAGAAAACCTGTTCCGGCCACTCTAGCTAGTAGACCCTATTATTGAAGAATCACCAGTGTGCTGCATACGAACTAGTCCCTAACGTGCACGTTAACGAGTGTTTACGCTTTTCCGTGATCATTCGCTTCCTTGCATGATGATGTTGCCTTCATTCCTGTAGACGAACTCATCAGACCCGTGCTTAATTCTCACGTTGGTAAGTTACTCGTTTCTCGCACAATCATGTTTATGCGCTACTTGAGATCGACTGTTACAATGGATCGTCCAATATTGTCTCACTTTCTCTAACACTTTGACAGCCATATTTGCCATCCTGAGATAGGTCACCGCACGAGTTACCTTCGTCGTTTTCACGACAAAAGATACCTCGTAAAGAGAACGATTCAGTTTTAGTCAATATCCAGAGCTGAACGCTCACATGGAGCAACGCTACCACTGACTTCAACCTTCCCACTTCGTCGTTTGCCAATAACCGAGTGACCGCGTAACCCGGTTTTAGGGTCTAAGGTAAAAAAAAATGCTCCAAGTTATGTGATCGTAGATCCCCAACACGACGAAACAACCGAACCCTCCATACAGTGGATCATCACAGGTCTGTATGGGCCTACTGCCGGGAAGGTCACTCTTGGTAGAGTGGGCCACAACTCTTTAAGGCGCTGCATTTAATGCATCTACCTTCGAACTACTGCCGCCCTTCTGGTTTTATTCTTTTTTGGTTTTTTCGTGAACCCAATTCCAGCCTCCTGTGGGCACAACCTTTGAATTGAAATTTGATCCCGTATATTCGTTACTCGTTGCCCTTGCCGCACATTTTCTGCGTGCCCCCTGCTCTGACCACCAATTGCCAACTAATACCGGCATTTATTTTTCGCCTTCACAAACGACTTCAACCACTCCTCCAAGGGCAACCAAAACGTTTCACATTGAAGATGCTAAACTTAATGTATATACCCACCCCGGACGATTGCTTAATTGTTTAATAAATTTTGTCTTCTTTTACTGATTTCTCGGACAGTTCATCGGCCATTTAATATGCGCTGTCGCATGTATCAGCTTTAATATAGCGTCACAACCTGCTTTATCCAGGGACTCTCCAGCCGGGCGTTCGAATGCAAACGCCTTTTAAATTACTCACTATCCAGTGGGGTACTTCTGCAACACTATATATATATATATGCTCAGATAAGTGTAAAATTTAGACCAAAAATACGACTATCTGACGAGAACGACTATCAAAGACGGTACGCGTTGCTAACGCGCATGCATAGCCTATACGCCGTCATACAGTCCCCAGCTGCACAGAGCCGTGTACCGCTTCATGGTGCCTCCGTGCAGAACAGACGCCTCAATAAGACTATCACATACGCGATACCATCGTGGTGGCAGATCTACCCAGTCAGGCAGACAGCTTTCATCCTGCTGAAGTGTAATAAGTCTCTACAAGGACGATGCTTCAGCACTGTCACTGCTACTACCCCCAACACCGACCCCTTCGACGTGGTCGCCACGGCAACTGCGGTTTGTTTCCTATAACAATGTAAATTTGTTATGCATGATCAGATCCGAAGATGTATATCTTTTTTCTTCTCTCAGGAACATTTTCACAGAACGACACCAGTGGCATCAGCAGCACGACCTCTCCATAGCGTCTCTTCAATTCTACAATATCTATGCATTATTCAAGTCGTTGGTTGTAGTCGTATCATTCTGAGTTCGTTTGGTCGCTTTATCTTTCTACCTCTATTCCTTCTTTCCGTTGTTTTCTGTGTTGTGTTGGCTAGCGCCTTTGGCCTTTTTTCAGGTCGTGCTTCTAGACGTACGGCAGCGACTAGAACAACAAACGACGGTAGCAGCAACGGCGACACCAATCACCATACTCTCGACTATCCGTTTTCTAATTCTCATCTACGTCAGAAAAGTGTCCTACACCCACTGGTTGTCCCTACAATCGACGACGCACGGGTGTTAGTGTCTGTATGCCTGTGGAGAACCAGCTGCCGCCTCCCGTGCCGCCATCGCCAGATATATAATACGATACAGGCCTAGGTGTCCCTCTTTTCTTTTGTTCCAGTCTACCGTTACCCCACTATCTTTCTTGCTAGTCTGTAACAAATGCTGTATGTCTGAATATGGATTTAATAGCAACGTTCTAAAGTTATCCCACATAAATCAGGAAAACGTAGGCTAGTTTACTAGGATTCTATACAACTGGTACTACAAGAATAACGATTGTCACATGATGCACTTTGAACATGTTCGGTATCTGGGTTACTCTTCTAGTGCTGTCGATTTGGAGATTTGAAAAAGGTGTGCCTCTTTTATTCAACAATGCTAACAGCTGAAACGGCTTTAAATTTGTAATGTCGGTATCGTTAGCCATGATCAGCAAGTTCCTAAATTACATCGTCAGCGGCAGATATGCAAAAGTAGACCTGAAGGGATACTGCAGCAAAAAGGGGTCGAATCAACGAAAGGCAGCAGCGTAAAATAATGTCTGGGGGGCAGTAAAAGGTCAAAGAAGGCTCGATAAATATAGAAAACAGGGAAAAGGCGAGAAAGAAAGGGGGAGTAAAGACAAAAAACAACTAGTCTTCGCAGAAAAAGTCGCACAAGGTTCAGTCATCCTATGGCAAGTTAGGAGGATTAAGCGGTGAAAGTTCCCAATCAAGACACTCCGTTACCATGTAGAACCAGGCTGGACAAATGCTGCCGCCGCCGACGAATACAAACGTAACGAGCACTAGTCAAAGCGACGAACTCACCGGAGGCTTTCAATCCTTCCATTAGTGTTTTTCGTTGCAGCGCATCTTTTTTCCGTCCCTTCTGAAGGTCTCCTCGTTGACGAAAGCTTCTCCTCTTTTTGCTTCGCTCTTTAGGGTTCAGAGAATCAAGGCAAGGATGAAGATAACGCGGGAGCGCGAGACACAGGCGATGATATTTGCGTGTCACCCGTTTTGATGCCTGTGGCAACAGGGACGACAAACCACTATCGGCGATCTGTCGGCCGCCGACGCTAGTAATGGCAGCTTGCCGAATGGCGGAGTGCTATTGTCCCTCTCACGGTTGCTAGACCCTAATTCTTGTTTAGCTTTGTGACAAATGGCGCCAGATAACTATTGGTGGAGCTTTCATAGTTAGCATGTAGCGATGTAGTCTGTTTCGTCAAGAAATGTCGCACTCACAACAGTAACTGCTTTTTTGCTTCCTAATTATGTTTACCGCTATATTATTTCAATAATGAGGCTACTGCTGACGATGAAACTTGCCCGACCGACTATCGGGGGATAGCTAACTGAGAAAAATGGTGAAAACACTTTGGCAGAAAGAGCACGGAAGACATCAAGAGCAGCAGAACCCAAACTCCGTACTTCACCAAAGATTACTAGACTTCTCACCCGCATCCTTCACCTCTGCTGCATACCCTCGTCGAGTGTACATAATTAGCAGTATAATTATATTCATTTACCGTCTCGGCTGGAGTGACAGCGGTGGAGTGCTTACGTTACACGCGTTCGTAAATCTATATTGGTTTTCTAGCAGATTTCATTTACTCGAACAGTTCTGTTGAAAACATATTTCTCATAGAAGATGAATAGTGTTTTATCGAACTAGAAAAATGTTCTGTTTGAAATTATGAGTAAACAAATTGTAAGTAAACGATTTTATTTGGTTAGCTTATGGAGAAAATTCGCTGACCATTACGAGTTGTTCACTGAAGGTCTAGTTAGATTGCTCCAAAGATCAGGTAAAACACAAAGCGACTATAATTTAGTAAACGTAGGACAAATGCGAGGCGTTATTATTCGATTTCTATAGAAAACATATATAACGAAAACATGAATAAAATCTAAATGGGTGTTCTAATAGCTATTAATAGATTCGGTCTATATCGGTTCTCTCACTACTGTGTTTGTGTCCTAGAGATAATAGATTCAACTCCCACGCCCTTGCTGGAATACAATGTAATGTAAAATATACATGCCACCAATACATATACGCGGTGCACGTACGTGCAATATTGTTTTCGACGGCTTTTACTACTCATAAATAATTCAAAGTTCACTTAGTTATTCCGCTAAAATCTCTATACTTACGTACTTAGCCAATCAGGATACTTTCTATGTATTTCGCTGTTTACTATGACATTCTTCTACTTTTCTACATTTTAGCGGATGCCCGTGCCATTGTAGCCCGCGATTTGGATGGTAAACACAACCATGTAAAATGGATGTCCTCGGTGAAGTGTTCGACTTCGGTAGATTAAAGTTGTATGGATGACTGTCTCACCTGAAATCATTGAAAAGGAAGATCACTCGATAAGGTATACGTATCATATATATAATTTTTGCACGGTTATAAACATTCTGCCGTGACCTATCTATAGTGGCATCTTTTTTGTATCTCTTTTATCGGCCTTTAAAGTGGCCTTTTTGCCGGTAACGGACCGTCTACGGATAAATCCGACTAAGACAAGTTGTTGCCCTCCGAGAAAAATAATCCCTTCTAATCAGTCCGTCAATTAAGTGGCCAGGGCTCCTGTCTCTAGCTAAATGATATTTTGGTAAAACCGTTCGAATAATGCCGAGCGGTTGACTAAATTTGTGTGCAATTGATGCCATTATCGATCTGCGTCTGTTTCGTGCACAGATAGTGCTGCAAACGAAACACAACGCCAGCATATTATATATATATAAGTTGTGACCAGCAAATTATCCCCTTGAAACAGAGAGCTTAGATGCGTGCTAGAAAGTAGTACAAATGTAGTAAAATATAGAAGCTTGTCGTCGATCAGCAGTTTGACATCGGAGTTTTCGTGTCTTGAAAACGTGAATCAATCAAATCAAGACATCTTATCGATGTTTTACCGTACGCTTACAATTAAATACTGGTGGGTTTATTAGAGGACTAGGTATACCTTTACACGCCTAGAACCTATCTGTCCGCAGATGTGAATACTAATACTGTTCCTAGTGTTACCATTGAAATAATCTGTTTTCGTAGCAAAATTATGCAGCTTCTCAATGTATTGCCAGTCGTTCGTTAATTGCAACGTAACAAAATTGAACTCGGGTCGCCGTCAGCTTCTTTAAGTTATTGCAGCGGTGATATTTGCGCAAGCGTTTTGCCCTGAGGCCATTTCGTCTTTGCCCGCTTCGCGAGACGTGAATCTTAGAAATTTCCTGCCGAGTCAGATCGACTCCATTTCGTCAAGGAGAGTGCAAAGCTAACAGACGTGAGTGAAGACTACCGACCGAAAGCGAAAGTCGAAAATACCTAAGCAAGCTCTGTGCAACGAGAATGATGTTGATGCTCGTTCCCAAAAAATGCATCAGTCAAAAGATACCAGTTGAATAATGCGTGTTCCTTTAGCGCAGTACACGCTATATAGGTAGAACTGGCAACTTTGGTCAGTTCCTTTATTTTGACAAGTTGATTTGAAACACCGAGTGTACTAGGTAGGTAGAAAGCTCAGCTTTCTAAAGTTAACAAACTAATTTTTCACTCCCTCGTTATCCCCGGCATGCGTCCGCCTTGCAGAAGATATTGCCTGGGGATGTTTGTCTTAATTCCCTTTCAGAACTGCTTCAAAAGTACCTGTCGTTAAATCTTTCGTTGGTCATGTATCGTGATTATGTCACCGTAAAAGAAATACACTTTCGATAAGTTTTTAGGTATGCAAATTGAACGATTCTTCTTCCTCTACCTTTGTGGAACAGCAGAAGAAAACATGTACCTTTAACATCTACAGATCATGGCAATTGATAAGTGTTGCTAAGGACGGTATGGCTAAGTTAATTGTGACAAAACTGTCATAACAGTCACCTGGATTTCCTATGCGTCTTTAGGGCTCAGCTAATAGCGTTCATGTGCCGATACGAGGCGTGCTGTTACATTGCTAACAGTCGTAGAGATCGATTGCACGTCCTGCGGCAACCTCAAGTATTGCAATTGGGATGGTCATCAGTTCAGTGGGTCCAATTTTATTCTAAATAGCGAGCAAGGCATGACTGCAACAAGGACTGACGCGTTCGCAGCGATCAAATGAATCTTTGTTTTTATTTGCGCATTTTCTTGTTAATCCATTGCTTCAATGAGCTCTCATAGGAACAGCCTGCTAAGGCGATGTGTAAGTAGATTATTAACTAGACGATTACTTGTATCCAGATTGTCTGCGATGCTAGTTCTCTAACGTATGTAATGATGTGTACAATGAGAACTGTTTCTTTGTTCTTGCGAGAACGTCGAGTCCAGCCATCGTTTGCTACAATCCGATCAAGACCTAAATAAAATCTGACACGATTACACTTTAAATTATTGTGCCCGAGCGCTTAGCGCTAGATAACGTCCGCGTAACAAAGCCCTAAGCGATGCAAAAGCATGGAGACTTCAAAGTTACGCAAAGCAGACAGGGCGGGACGGCGTAGGTGAACGACTTCGTGTCGTTCCTTCTGCCACGATGGCACAAATCGACACAGTTACTGTAGTTAGCAACGGCAGGAACGACAACGGTATTCTGGTTATGAAGTTGTTCCTCCGATCCCTACCAACCTGCTGGCGCCGTTCAATCCCATTAAAATCTCCATGCATTATTAGACGAAGATATCTATGCTGTCTTGGCAGTAGCAGTGCGTATTTTTGGTAATTTATCTATCCATTTAGAAAGGCGTGGACGGCGTAAGGGCAGGGCAGTAAGGGTAACTGTTCATTTAGAAATAACAATCCTTTTAGCAAAATGAATATTCATCAGGAGTATGCACGCACCGCCACAGGCACATACACACAAACAGTCACTCTTTTGCTGGCGCGCTCGCAGACCTTCAGAGAATAGCAGTACTCTATGCAGAACTCATGACACCTTTCCAGCTCCACCGTACGACTATTGAGTGATAATATATACAAATGGTTGGTGGCAATAATTTATTTATTATACTATTTGCAAACAGTTTGCAAAAAAGTACCGGGTTTTTCATTATATCTACAGGCAAACTCAGTGTAGTAGTAGTAGTAGTAGTAAAATTAGGTATTATCTAGCAAAATAATGAGTCAACATTCACCGTGTCGTTGAGCCCAACCATATTGTTGGGTACATTTGTACTTTAAGCTGGTTTAGCAATAAAAAAATAACAACCAACCGTAGCATCTGCGAAAATCGTCGAAACATCGAAACGACCTTGCATGCCCATTCGATTGCTATCATTAGCGACTTTTAGACTTTCAAACGTTATATCGGAGAGCTTTCTTAAGGGGGTAAACTGTCAGTGCAGTACTTTCCAGTCAATGTCGGCTTCTTAGAACAGAAGCGGCAGCTGTCTTACGCAGACGCAGCCGGCGGATGGATATGTTTGACAGCTGATGGGAAATCAATGAAAACGACAGGCGAAGATCGACTATATCGAAAGGCACACTGAGGAAACTTCTATTTATTTCCGTCCCGCGGCCATGAGTTGAGAAATCGATGGTTAGACTGCCGGAAGGCTGGCAGTCATACCTACAGCTTATGCTCCTGTTTTCGTATCTCCCAGGTCCTAAACCTCTCTCGGACCGTTGCGCAACAAAACGTATTTATCGAGGGGTATTTCGACGATTCTGGTGCAAAATGTTCCCTGGCCACTTCCCGACCTCGCTTATTTATAGACCGTTGACGCAGTTTCAAAGGCTTGGTCTATCCGTAATACCTCTTAATCTCCCAGCAGCTATCACGCATTTCAAATCAGTTACCCTCGACGAATTGGATTTTCCCGCACCCCTCCATATGTCCTGTATATGAGAGATTTGAATCGATTGAATCAATGCATGTATTATATTAGAAATATATGTGAACAAGCTAAAAATGTTATATGCATAGACCAGTATAGAAGCCGATATAAAATAAATGTTACGCTGAGCAGCACCATTTTTTTGTTTGCTACTGTTAATTAAGATAACGACTTCGTAGGCATTTCCGTAGCCGTCGCTTTAGTGGGCTCGCTATTTATCTTCCACTATGGTCCGAGGCAGAATAATAGATTACCGAGCACGGACAGCGTGCTTTTTCTGAGCACAAATATTTTGCGTACTTTGTAATTAAGGCATCGATTGAAGGCTGTGTTAGCCATTGTCCGTATAGTCTATTATTTTAAACTTCCACGTCAGATTTATCCGACAAACATAAGTGTTACAATGCGACCTTGCCGAGCTAGTCAAACAAATTTTCAACTTTAAACTGGCGTAAAGGCCAGTGTTGTTGTTGAAATCGTCTCGCTAGGACGTCGTCGTCGCAATGCTCGATGTGATATTAAGGATTACTTATTATTAATAAGTAGTTCGCATTTTGAGGGCTTATAGCTTCTGCTGGCCTGCTTCACGTCAATACTTGCGTTAGTACTAAAATGAAGTTACTATTACGGGAAAGTCGTTTGTGTACTCACTGTCAATTTCCATCTCCAAATGGTTAAACTTTCGGCCCATTTAGGGTTTGCCGGGTAGACGACAACCAGTCATTGTAATATTCCAGCAATCCCTGCGTTCGGCTTTCGATATAACACTCATTGTTGTTCTAGCAGACTGGTGTCCCACAATAGCGCCTAGCAACATCCGGAATATTGAATGTCGGTCATATTAACAATTACATGATATTGCTTTCGACACAGGAATCTACGAGGGGGTGCAACGGGTTTGGGAACTGATGGTCAAGACGATTGAACGTGACGTGTGCCACTCATTTAGTTGGATGCAATATCCAATTATTCGAGATTGTCCATATAGTGGGCGATTCGCTATACTTAGATAGGCTAGTAGGTTTACTGGTGTTTGATTTAAGTCAGAAAAGCTACACTCGCTTTCTTCAGTAGCGGCGCCTGGGAACACGTAAAATATTGGGTCTAACCCAGACAATATTACGTATCAATTCTGTTTCTATCGCAAAATATTGATGTATGTGTAATATTCGAGGGTAGCAGCGAGCTGAGGAAAGGAGACATGGTGTCATCGTTCGCCGGAATAACTCAGTATCCTTTTCGATCCTTCGGCAAAAAATGGTTAACCAGTTTTAGAGCCATAAGCACGCGTATGCGAGGTTGAAGGACATGGATGATGTCATAGTAAATAGAATTGTATAATGAGCCCATGTCAAATGTATCATGCGGCAGTGACATCGAAGCGTCCGAAATGAAGGTCATTAGCATGTTTTTCTTGCTGGCAGTGACCATATATTAAGGTAAGCCAAGTCCAAGTTCAACATGCTTAATACAACATTCTACTGTAACAAAATTGGGTACATTATTTGACGATTAGTCGCTAAATAATCG